TATATATGCAATATATATATATATATATATATATATATAAATAAGAAAAGTATATATAGATAAAAATGAAATTAGTCTTCTAATTCACTCTCTTAAAAAGAGAGAAAATCAATTTTGTACTTGGGGACATAAAATTTAGATTAATCCTCTTTGCACTCCGAAAAAAGTGTGGTTTATTGGTGTTGCGCTGTTGCACGGAGATATGTTCGTAGAGAGGTTTCGCAATAAGAAAGTGTACTTTATGACAGCACATAACTCTTCTTACAATCTTGAAGATTAGACCATTTTTTACGAGCGTGTCTTGTACATTATCGTTTGTCCATCTTAAGTGAATATGTACGCTGTTAAAATTGATAATGTCAAATTATTAGTTATTTTTAATTATTTTTATAATTCAATATTTTATAGCTTTCCAATCGCCACTGTTCCTATTTAATATATATTGTTAATTTAACTAAAACAATGGAGTTAAACAATTTAACTCAAGAAAATTCATTAAATTTAACTTAATTTTTGTTTATTATTTACTAAGTACAAACGTTTGCATTTACTAAATTCTACAGAAAATGAATTGATTTTGATACATATGAAAATTAAAAGTATTGTAATAAAACGTTATTTAATTCCTTTATTTAGGGATCGGGTTATTATTGTTCCTTTAATATTTAACAATATGGAGAGACAAAGGCTTAACGTTGCATTTTTCTTTTTATGACAGTATTACAATTGAACGTTGACAGGAGCAGGTACTGATATTTAATTAACAGAAAAAAAAGCGGTAAATTTAAATTCGACTCGAGGCGACGCCGATAGACCGCAACTGTATTGTTGACTCGTATTGTTGTCTGTCTAGCGGTGCGTTTCAACCGTTAAACGGAGACACTTTTGCGCTTCCGTTACCGCTGATAAAATCCCGCAGATCGCGCAGCGTCGCCGTCGGCAGTGTGATTTCGTGCGAGACGCCTTTTTACGAAGTCGAGTCGCGCTCACGTCGCGACGCGGTTCGCGCGGAATTCCAACGCTCCAAATTGAATTTCTCATTGTACAATACTCACGTAGAGCCGGGGCTCCCGTCCGACCGACTGCTCGGCTTCACGGATACCCGTCGGCGGGTTTGCTCGCGCGTGAGACGCGCGTGTCATTGTTACTCCAGAAGGTCGACCGATAGCTGTCAGAACTTGTTTCGTGCTGCTGCCTGATCGCGCGATCTGCAAACAAACGATATCTAATTGTGAATTTTTTTTTTTTTATTCCACGATTATCGTTGCATTTCCCGCAGGAATCTACAATATATCTTTTGATATATATCTAGGATACTGCGTATATTATTTTAAATCAAATATCGAAATGATTTATCTTTGTTTACTTTGTGACATTTATAGATTGAGAAAATAATTTATTACAATTCATCTGATTCCGCTGAGGATGTAAAGCCTAATACGAGTCGCTTCGTACTTTTAGTTGCTAATTGAGTTATCAACTTTAACACGATCTATCATTTTCTCAGCGGGAACATTAAGTGTTTACTTATAGGATTTTCAACTCGTTGAATAAACTAGCGTAAATTTGAGGGAACGCTGGCACATGCGAAATTGTTCCTGTCTGAGGGAAATATATTTCGAAATTGGTGAAATAACATAAATAATACCGATGCGACTTCCTGTCGGTACTGTTTATATTTGCTTATTTCACAGCGATGACTGAAAAAGTAAATATTGCCGGAATATTCCAAGGAGAATATTCCTGGTAACCCCATTCCACTCTCGAGGCAGCGATCGATACTAATTTTGAACCGCCCAGTACGATAGTTAATTTCAAGGATAATCTACTCTGTGTTAATTTATTAGACCGCGGTTAAGAGTCGATATTTTGTGTGAGCATGCGCACGCGATGGTCGACGAGAAGAAAGTTTTAAATTTTAAAATCCTCATAGAAAGAAATTCTTCGAGTACGCGTTTTAGAATTATTATTCTATAATTGTTTTGTATGTTACAATTTAAATATTAACATTTTTTAATATTATTTTAAATATTAGTATTTTTAATATTATTTTAAATATTAGTATTTTAATTTTTTTAGTATTATGGATATAATATTGGTAACAAGTTCTCGAGTTGTTCGCTTCGAAGCTTGCGGCTGAATATCGATTTGCCAACATTGTAACGTGAACTTTAAAATTGCCGATTCCTTGCCGCTGTAAAGCGTGAAACCGCTATAAAAGTCGATAAACGCGTTGATCCTGTTTTTTTCCCTTCGGACACAACGAGCGAACTTTCCGCGTTTTTTTTTCTTATGTGCTTGAGGAATGCAAAACTGCATGAGGGTGGTTGGAAAACTTGTAACCGTTTCCCCGTCCTGTGTTACATTCTTCCCTTTTTTTTTTTCATTTTTTTGTTCCGGTATCCGCATTTTTGCTTAGCGTTAATGAAGTTGCCACTGAACGTGATGCATGAAGTAAACTTGCATGAAAAGGTTTACCGTCTCGCCAGTATCTCTTAATAAAGTTCAATTGTGATTTTATGCACTGGATTAACTTTTATTAAGGATGTTACATAAAAATCATAAGTCGCTTATTTAATCTTTTATTAAAGTAGTTTGCCAGAGATTAATTAATGTAATAAATATTTGAAATATTTCGTGCTACAAAGTAAATATACATATATAGGTATATAATAACGCTAAATAAAACGTAAGAAACGAATTGAACTTTATACGTTCTTGTTAATTTCGATTACGCAATTGATATAATAATTATTCAATAACTTTATATTAAATGAATTCTAATATATTAGATATGCATATTATAATGTAGTAGATTAATACTTGGAATGAAAAGAATTTAGAATTCTAATGCATTAAAAAACAAATTAAAAAAATTACAACGAACATTTAAAATTTATCATCTTTATCTAATATTAATTAAAAATTTTTTTGTTTAATGAGGTTATTAAGTTATTAAGTTAAGTTATTAAGGTTATTAAGTCATTATGTTATTAATTGCGTAATTGAAATCAGTTTATTAGAGAGAAAATATAAATTCGCTTCGACGTAGTTCGTTTTAGTCCATAATAAATATAGCCTAGACTGTTTCACGATGACATCGTGCGTCCCTTCATACGAGAGATTAATCGATAACGGTTATTAAACTTATCCTTTAGTAGGGTACGAATGAGCGATAAAACTTGCAAAATCATTTATAACTGGCGTTAAATTTAAGCAATTTTTGATCACGTCTAAATTGACACTGAAAATGTATATGAAACAGCATGAATATGTATATTCAAGAAATTGGATTGCTGTTCGAAAACTTTGTCTTCCGAGACTACAATAGGAACGTATGTCGCTTGTTGCAGATTCGCGCAAATGAAGGATGTTAGATGAGGAAGTTTGCGGGACTGCCTGAATTGCAGGTAAGTGTATAACATAAAGTCATATGAATAATCTCTTGAGCAGGACGTGTATTATTTAATTGCTCCGTGAGATTTTATTTCTGTATGTATACATTAATTCGTAATACAAAAATTTAATGAATGTAAAATGTATTGCATATTTTTAAATTATTTTGATAATTTTCTTAGCAATCTGTTATATTTTTTAAAAAGCTATTTAATGATAATATATTAAAGTTATAATTTTTAATCATTTATTATAAAATCTCTGTTTTATAAAATCATGATGACCGTTACTTATTGTCACATTAATTTTCGATATTCACTTAATCGGCTAAAAAATTTCCATTTGACCATGCTATTTTTACCCGAAGCGAAACTAATTGATGTCTTATTAAAAGAGTATTCAATTACGTTTAATACCAGTCTCACATTGTCCTACGTATCGATCTAATCGAGTGTTATGACGACTTATCGTCTGCCTCATTTGCATCTAGGGTTCCAGCTATTCAGCTACACATTTAATCTAATCAACCACCTGCTCATGATTATCTCAGGAGGTCACGATGTCACGTTGTATACCACCCGATGTTAATTTTATTTAGGTATAACCATCTGTGTAGCACCTCAAAATAACGTTACGTTATCACACGATACTTCCGAATGATCGTTTTTTTTAACAGATTTTTAATTGAAATATTACACACATACACAATAAGAGTTTATTTCAAAGACTCCTTTTGAAAAGAAAACCTTTGATACTTAATTGTAATTGATACTTAATTATTTAATAAAACCGTTTGATGTTCAATTGCTTACAACACAATCATTATTGTTGAATTGGCACCATAAATGTTTTTATCTGTACAGAGATTAAGCTGATGTTGAGCTTAAATTGAATGGTAATAACTATAGAAGTTATTTATATCTCCAATATAAGAAGTTCTTCAATTTTCTTCGCTTCCTAATTCATGAAGTGTCAATGTTATACATATGAAGTACGTTTCAATCGAGCTTGTTCGCTAATCGACGACCTTGACTCACATTAGCTATGCTGAACTGGGCAATGTAAGACCGTGATATTCTCACGGTACAGTTATGCCATGTTTTGTCGTTGTGACATGCATGCATCTGCCGATTAAATTTCTCAAAGGAATTATAATTACTCAAGGTTGTCGAAATTTTTTGAAATATTAATGTTTCGCTGATCTGCATACCGATTCTGTCATCAGTCGTGACGATAGAACTTTTAAGCTTTTAATTCTCTTTTCATTCTTGGTTGAATATTATCCTTCTCTTGAAAAACGTCTTGTACAAGTAATTTTATATTATAGTAAATATAAATCTAAGGAAAGATAGTAATTATTGCTGAAAGATCGTTGCATGCACGGAAAGAACGATTTTACGAAATATCTAAAAATTTAGGTAGACGCAGATCTGAGAATAATTTTGTTAGATCGTCCAAATAATTATGTAAGAATTTCAAGCATGATGAGTAATGTTGCAAGAAGCATTTTGACATTTAGCAACCAGTTTGAGCGTTCTACATAATTATTT